ACACACACCACACACACATACACACAACACACACACACAACACACACACAACACACACACAACACACACAACACCACACACACATACACACAACACACACACACAACACACACACAACACACACACACCACACACAACACTACACACACAACACACACAACACACACACAACACACACACACCACACACACATACACACAACACACACAACACAAACACAGCACACACACCCACACAACACACACACCCCCCACACACACACCACACACACAACACACACAACACACACACACAACACACACACACAACACACACAATACACACACACAACACACACACCACACACACACCACACACACATACACACAACACACACAACACAAACACACACAGCACACACACACCCACATAACACACACACACCCCCCACACACACCACACACACAACACACACACACTACACACACACACAACACACACACACCCCCACACACACAACACACACACACAACACAAACACATACAGCACACACACACCCCACACACAACACAAACACACAACACACACACATACACACAACACACACAACACACACACAACACACACACAACACACACACACAACACCACACACACACACAACACAAACACACACACACACAGCACAGAGGAAAGTGCCGTGCCTGGGTGGGTTGGGGCGGGCCCCAGAGGAAGGAGCCGCTTGACTCAGAGCTACAGGAAGAGCTGGGGCAGGCGGGGTGAGAACCACCAACTGCCCGTCCTCCCGCCCGCCTAGGGAAGGGGTGGGTGCCTGGGTGGGGTTTAGGTTTAGGAGAGGATGTGACTGCAAGGCCAGGAAGCTACAGGAAAGTTCTGATTAAAATACACATAAACACAAGCCAGGTCCCCACCGTGCTTGGTGATGCACCCAGAGCAGCCTTGGTGCTGTGGACACTCACTGGGACCCAGCGGAGGCGAGAGTTTGCTCCCAAAGGCACATCAATGACCAACATTTGCCCCCCGGAGGAAAGAACGGGAACCAGGTGACTCTGTACCTTCCCTGCTGCTCTGAGTGAGCCTGTGTCAGGGCCTGGCTGAGAGGAGGCCTGCGGTGCACAGGACCCATGCATGCATGTGTGTATGTGTGTGTGAGAGAGTGCGGGAGAGCAGGAGGCTGTGAGTGTGGCATCAGCAGCCAAGGGTGGGTGTGAGGTACAGTGTGTGTGCTGTGGGGTGCCTGTGGTCCTGGGCTCTGTGACAAGTGTTGCAATGGGTGTTGTATATACTCAGAAGGTGTGTGAGGGGTCTGCAGCCTAAGCTCTGTGCAGTGGTAATGGGAGGTGTGTGTGGTAGGAAGTGTGCTGTGTGGGAGGTGCAAGCGTGCACACGGGCTGAGACTGAAGCTCAGTGCAGGTGTGCTTGGGCAGAGGGCTGTGTGTATGTGATGTGTGCAGGGGAGGGGAGGCAGAGGAGTGGGTGCAGGGGAAGGTAGGGAGGGGAGGGGGTGCAAGGAAAGGTGTGCAGGGGAGGGTGCAGGAGAAGGTAGGCAGAGGAGAGGGTGCAGGGGAAGGTGTGCAGAGGAGAGGGTGCAGGGGAAGGTAGGCAGAGGAGAGGGTGCAGGGGAAGGTGTACAGAGGAGAAGGTGCAGGGAAAGGTGGGGAGGGGAGAGGGTATAGGGGAAGGTAGGCAGAGGAGAGGGTGTAGGGGAAGGTAGGCAGAGGAGAGGGTGTAGGGGAAGGTAGGCAGAGGAGAGGGTGCAGGGGAAGGTAGGCAGAGGAGAGGGTGCAGGGAAAGGTGGGGAGGAGAGAAGGTGCAGGGGGAGGCAGGCAGAGGAGAGGGTGCAGGGGAGAGGGTGCAGGGGAAGGTAGGCAGAGGAAAGGGTACAGGGAAAGGTGGGGAGGAGAGAAGGTGCAGGAGGAGGCAGGTAGAGGAGAGGGTGCAGGGGAGAGGGTGCAGGGGAAAGTAGGCAGAGGAGAGGGTGCAGGGGAAGGTGGGCAGGGGAGAGGGTGCAGAGGAAGGTAGGCAGAGGAGAGGGTGCAGGGAAAGGTGGGAAGGAGAGAAGGTGCAGGAGGAGGCAGGCAGAGGAGAGGGTGCAGGGGAGAGGGTGCAGGGGAAGGTGGGCAGAGGAGAGGGTGCAGGGGGAGGCAGAGAGGGTGCAGGGGAAGGTGTGCAGAGGAGAGGGTGCAGGGGGAGGCAGGCAGAGGAGAGGGTGCAGGGAAAGGTGGGGAGGAGAGAAGGTGCAGGAGGAGGCAGGTAGAGGAGAGGGTGCAGGGGAGAGGGTGCAGGGGAAGGTGGGCAGAGGAGAGGGTGCAGGGGGAGGCAGGCAGAGGAGAGGGTGCAGGGGAGAGGGTGCAGGGGAAGGTGGGCAGGGGAGAGGGTGCAGGGGAAGGTGGGCAGGGGAGAGGGTGCAGGGGAGGGCACCTACTTTCTTGCTGTGCTCATATCCTGGCAGTCTGCCCTTGACTTCCAGAAGGCTCTGAGGCTGTTTTGGAGGGAGGACTTTGAGGTCTGAGCTTGGGGCAGTCATGGAGGCACTGCAGGAGATGCCGGGGGTTCTGCTGGGCTCGGGGTGTGTCCTCCTGTGCTTGCTGTGAGGAGTTGGTGGCCTGGGAAGTGTGTGTTTTAAGGAGCCTCAGTGGGTGGTTCCCCTGGGTCAAAGACTTTCCTTGGACTGTCCTCCACCGCAAGGGCTTCTTCAAGGACCCCCTTGCCATCCCCCATGGGAGTGCACCCCATGCCATGTTGGTTCCCGAGGAAACTGCCAAACAGCAAACCTGGGCCTCTGACTGTGCTTCACCCATGCAGAGGGAATAGGTGGCAGGCTAAGAGGACTGTCCCTGCTACCGCCTCTGGGGCCTTAGCGGGGAGGAATCCTGAGGGAGCTGGGGTGCAAGAACCTTAGGCTTGATCCCCACATCCCCACTTCCACTGTGTCCCTGCAGCAGAGGCGTAGACAGTCAGTGCCTGTTGGATAAACAGGGTGACCCTGTGGTACCCAGTGAGGAGAGGCCCTCAGGGCCCTGGGCTGCCAAGGAAGAGGCTCTGGGCTCCTCCCTGCGGCTACCTCACTGAGGAGCTTTGGGAGACTTGAGGTGTGTGTGGCTGCTGCTACGGACTGGGAAAGGGCCCAGGACCCGGGACCTATATCCCCACTGGGTCCCGCTCACCCTCCGGCCTCACAACCGCAGGGCGAGGCTAAGCTGAGGTTCCCGAGGCGTTTCGAGGTGTCTGTGCTCATGTGCACTCCTGACTGTATCAGACGTGGTCAGAGCTGGGCACCCCCCGCCGGCTGTATCCAGACATGGCCAGAGCTGGGCACCCCCCACCCGGCTGTATCCAGACATGGGTCAGAGCTGGGCACCCCCCGCCGGCTGTATCCAGACATGGCCAGAGCTGGGCACCCACCCCCTGTCTGCATCCAGACATGGCCAGAGCTGGGCACCCCCCGCCGGCTGTATCCAGATATGGCCAGAGCTGGGCATCCCCCCCGGCTGTATCCAGACATGGCCAGAGCTGGGCACCCCCCGCCGGCTGTATCCAGACATGGCCAGAGCTGGGCACCCCCCGCCGGCTGTATCCAGATATGGCCAGAGCTGGGCATCCCCCCCGGCTGTATCCAGATATGGCCAGAGCTGGGCATCCCCCCCGGCTGTATCCAGACATGGCCAGAGCTGGGCACCCCCACCCCCGGCTGCATCCAGACATGGCCAGAGCTGGGCACCCCCCGCCGGCTGTATCCAGACATGGCCAGAGCTGGGTACCCACCCCCTGACTGCATCCAGACATGGCCAGAGCTGGGCACCCACCCCCTGTCTGCATCCAGACATGGCCAGAGCTGGGCACCCCCCCTCCCGCTGTATCCAGACATGGCCAGAGCTGGGCACCCACCCCCTGGCTGCATCCAGACGTGGTCAGAGATGGGCCCCCCATGGTATAGGGCACATCACTCACCCCTGCCCCAAGGCCAGGCTGTGTCTCTGGCACTGCAGCACCCCCTGCAGTGGCAGCTCCATTGAAGGGGACAGCCAGGAGTGAGGCCAACTGCCGTCTCAGGAGACAGGGTCCCACCTGGTGTACGTCCACTGCACCCTGGGGTCGTCATGGTGGCCCCAGGGCCGGTGGAGGTGGTCCTGGACTTGATGGCTCCTCCCTGTGGCCCTGGGCTGCATGAGGTGATGCCCATTCTGGCCACATGTAAGGGGCTCAAAGAGACACCTGCTGGCCTCTGAGAACTTTGCCAGCATCCATGCGGCTGCTCAAGGTGGCATCTGGTCAGGGCCAGTGCTGTCTGTGGCCGGCAGTTACTGGTTAACTCATCCTGTTCCTGTTTAACTTGTTCCCTGGGGATGGCGGCAGCCTCTGACCCGTCCAGGTGCCCTGTCCAGCTGATTGCAAGGACAGAGAGGAGTCCTGCCCAGCTCTTGGATCAGTCTGCTCGGCCGAGGAGCCCGGTGGAGCCGGGGGTGACCCTGGAGCCCAGCCTGCCCCGAGGAGGCCCTGGCTCAGCACCATGCCAGGTAGGCAGGTCAGAGAGGGATGGGCTTGAGTTCCCACTCCCACCTCCTGCCCCTCAGGCTAGCTTCACGTTGTGCATCCTTCTCTTGTCCCAGGCGCTCTGCCTGGCCACATGCCGGGGGTACAAAGGCCCCTGCTCACCCCTCCCCCTGGGCCCTTGGCCCTGAAACCAGGGCGAGTGGTGAGGATGAGCCCTGTACCCTCTCCTGCCTCAGACCAGGCTCATGAGGTCAGTAAAGCCCAGGAATACTAGGAGTGGGCACTGCTGGGGCCCACAGCAGGGGTGTGGCAGATGTGAGCTGGTAGGAGACCATACCCCACTGAGAAGATGGCAGTCTCACTCCCGCTAGGGCTCATCACCCTGATGTAAAGATGAACAAGTTCAGGCCTCAGGTGGTGAGGAGGGCTTTGCCTGTGGCCAGGAGCAGAGGGCCCCAAGACCCCTGAGGCAAGAATGAGGCCAGCTGCTCCAGGCTCCCAGCTCTGCCCATCCAGGTGGAAGGTGCTGGCACACTGGGCATCTGGGTCCCCAAACCCACTGGCGCCTACACTGTCTGCAGATCCCCCAGCAGAGGCAGGCCAGGCTGAGGGGCGCAGTGCCTGGCCCCTCCTCTGAGACAGGCCTCACGGTGTCACCAGGGGTGGGCAACAGGTGCATCTGGGAAATGGGGGGCTGGACTCACGTCCTGGGTGGACAAGCAGCCAGATGGGGCTTGAGTGTTGGCCTGAGGCAGCTCAACTGTGACTGGCCACTGCTCTCTGCCCCCTCAGCACAGGGTGGGTGGAACACACAAAGCCTGGCCACTACTGGGGGAAGACGTGCCAAGTGCTAAGCCTGTCCTCATGGGACTCATGGGCAGACATGGTGTGACTGCCAAGCCACACAGAGGCCTTATTTCTTCCTGCACCACGGACCACTGTGGACGTGGCAAGGCCAGGCACCCTGGCACAGCTGACCCACTGTGTCCTCTCTCTTCAGGTGTCTGTGATAAGGCCCCTGACTTCCTCTCCCCGTCTGAAGACCAGGTGCTGAGGCCTGCCTTGGGCAGCTCAGTGGCTCTGAACTGCACGGCTTGGGTAGTCTCTGGGCCCCACTGCTCCCTGCCTTCAGTCCAGTGGCTGAAAGATGGGCTTCCATTGGGAAATGGGGGCCACTACAGCCTCCACGAGTACTCCTGGTAAGAGACCTGGGTATCCAGGGTCAGAGTGACCTCTCAGACATGCCAAGGGCAGTGGTCTCCCTGACCAATGTCTGGGTCTGTAACCACCTGGCCAGACATGACATGACCAGAGTGCCTCTGTGGACCCAGATGGAGGGTCAGTGATGTCAGGGACAGACCCTCGGGTCCGCATGGCCCCTGTAGACACACACTTTGTAACTGCCCAGGGCTATGGGTGTCAGCAAAGTCTAGGGCCTGAATGAACGCTGACCATCTGGCCAAGCCTGTGATCAGAGGACCTCCAGGCCCCAGACCCAGGACTGGGACGGCTGTTCTGAAACCAATCTGTACCCCTTCCAGGTTCAGGTCACTTCTCTTGGCTTAAGGCCCAAGAACCACCCAGGAGGCCCAATTCTGCAGCCTCCCTGGGCGAACCCAGACAGGTGGGGTTCTGGGGTGTCCACTGGTATCCACGACCGACCCTGACCCTGGCTTGGTATCCCCAGGGACAAGGCCAACTTGTCAGAGGTGCTTGTGTCCAGCGTCCTGGGGGTCAATGTGACCAGCGCTGAGGTCTACGGGGCCTTTGCCTGCTCCATCCAGAACGTCAGCTCCTCCTCCTTCACTCTTCAGAGAGCTGGTGATGGGGGTTCCCCAGGTGGAGGGTAGGAGGGGACCTAGACCTAGTGAGGCCCAGGGACCTTGAGGCTTGGGGGCTGCTGGAGGGGCAGCGGCTCAGGCAGCCCATCGGCAGGCCCTACAAGCCACGTGGCTGCGGTGCTGGCCTCCCTCCTGGTCCTGCTGACCCTGCTGCTGGCTGCCCTGCTCTATGTCAAGTGCCGTCTCAACGTGCTGCTCTGGTACCAGGACGCGTATGGGGAGGTGGAGATGAACGGTGCGTGGGGCCTGCGTGGACGCGAGGAGGGGTCGCCACGGCCTCCCTGAGATTGCGCTGCTGAGCTCAGCTTTGGAGGCGTGGGGCGAGGAGGAGTTAGCCCCAGGGGTCTCTGTGCGGGCCCAGCTGGGGTTAAAGTCCGGGGCGGGTCTGCCTCTGTGCACGTGGGAGATGGTTAGGGGTTTTGGGGACCCCGAGGGCTGGAGTAACGCCTCAGGAGCCACGGGGATGACTGGCCGCCATCCACAGACGGGAAGCTCTACGACGCCTACGTCTCCTACAGCGACTGCCCAGAGGACCGCAAGTTCGTGAACTTCATCCTGAAGCCGCAGCTGGAGCGGCGTCGGGGCTACAAGCTCTTCCTGGACGACCGCGACCTCCTGCCGCGCGCTGGTATCCCGGGCCCCGCCCACCCGGAGGGCCCGCCCCACTGGGCCCTGCCCCAGAGGTCCCGCCCCCACAATCGGGCCCCGCCCCCAGAGGCCCCGCCCCACCACCATCCCACCGGAGCCCCGCCTCCACCACGAGCTCCGCCCCACCGATCAGGGCCCCGCCCCCGCTCCTGCGCCCCCGCCCCGCGCCCCCGCCCCGCACCTCCGACGCCCGCCCTCCCGCAGAGCCCTCCGCCGACCTCCTGGTGAACCTGAGCCGCTGCCGCCGCCTCATCGTGGTGCTTTCCGACGCCTTCCTGAGCCGGGCCTGGTGCAGCCACAGCTTCCGGTGGGTCCCGCACGGGGTTGAGTGGGACCCAGCTTAGCACCCACCCCCCTGACGGTCCCGCCCCGCAGGGAGGGCCTGTGCCGGCTGCTGGAGCTCACCCGCAGACCCATCTTCATCACCTTCGAGGGCCAGAGGCGCGACCCCGCGCACCCGGCGCTCCGCCTGCTGCGCCAGCACCGCCACCTGGTGACCTTGCTGCTCTGGAGGCCCGGCTCCGTGGTGCGGAGCAGGCGTGGGGGGGCCGGGGCGAGCGGCGGTTTGGAGATGGGCGGTGCCCGGGCTCCAGGCGGGGACCCCTCCGTGGGGAGCTCTGCGGCACCACGCTTTCTGAATGGGCCCTGGGGGGAGGTTCCGCTGCCTGGGACCCCGATGCGGGGAGCGGCCCTTGAGGGCCCCGGAGCCACGGAATAGCTGTTGCAGGACGTAAAACCCATGGGCAGCTGCAGGTGTGCCCTTGGGGGCCAGAACGCCAGGGGCTTCCGAGGTGTTCACACCTGCGAACCGCCCCAACCTGGCCCCCAGACTCCTTCCTCCGAGTTTTGGAAAGAACTACAGCTGGCGCTGCCGCGGAAGGTGCATTACAGGCCGGTGGAAGGAGACCCCCAGACGCAGCTCCAGGACGACAAGGACCCCATGCTGATTCTTCGAGGCCGAGTCCCGGAGGGCCGGGCCCTGGACTCAGAGGTGGACCCGGACCCTGAGGGAGACCTGGGTATGCCCGCCCAGCCCCACTCTCCGACTGGAGAAGCTCAGCACAGGGCGGAGTGGGGAGAGGCACAGGGCAGAGGGCCTGGAGGGGGCCCCAGGTGGTGAGGACTGTTCCTGGCACCGAGGGCCCCTGCACCGCCTCTCTGCCCGGGAGGTGCTTGGCCCTTGGTCTGCCTGGGAACTTCCTGGGCCTCACAGGCCCAGGGGGCGAGCAGGGGCAGTCCCTGGCAGTGGGTCTGGGCCAAGGCTGTGGGTGGCCACCTCAGGCGTATCGGTCTCCCCATCCCAGGTGTCCGGGGGCCTGTCTTTGGAGAGCCATCAGCTCCACCGCACACGAGTGGGGTCTCGCTGGGAGAGGGCCGGAGCAGTGAAGTGGACGTCTCGGACCTCGGCTCGCGAAACTACAGTGCCCGCACAGACTTCTACTGCCTGGTGTCCAAGGATGATATGTAGCTCCCACCCCAGAGTGCAGGATCACAGGGACAGCGGGGGCCAGGGCTGGGGGATCACTCCTCTGCTCAGCAGGACCACACCCCCTGCCAGCAGCCCTGGGACTCTGGGGAAAAGGCTGTGGCCTCAGGGGTGCCTCCCAGTGCCAGAAAATAAAGTCCTTTTGGATTCTGCCTGGGCCTCAGTCTCCTCCCATGTGGCAGAAGGTTTCGGTTCGGCTCCCCTCTGTGGCTCTCTCAGCCCTCCACCCCTCCCTCTCTCATCCCCACCCCACAAATCACCAAATCTGCCCTCTCTCCATCCCCCTTCCTAAGCCAGCTCAGGCATGTCCCGTGCTCACAGTAGCCTCCTTGGGCCTCCCTGCCTGGTGACGTGACTGTTCCTAGACCCTTCCCATGCAGGCAGATTCTGGACGGAGCAGGCCCCTTAGAGACCTCAAGTTCTGAGCTTCACAGAAGATTTCTGTTTTAAAAATATCCACAGTGACTTCACAAATAAATGGCCTGGCACTGGGTGAGATGGATGGAGGTGTCCAAGAGCCTACTCGCCCCCAGACCTCAGGCAGCCAGTGTGAGAGCCCCTGGTCCAGGCAACTCCAGGCCCAAGGCGGGCGGAGAGGGAATTGGGTTCTTTTGTTGCATGAGTATAGCCCACGAGGCAGCCCCCTCTTCCCACTCCGGTCACCCTCTGCTCTTGAGGCCCCCAGCTCTGCTCCATCTGTGTCTGTGGTGCACCTGCTGTCCACCCTGTCCCCTCTCGGCCCTGAGGTGTCAGCTGTCCCTCTGCTGGGCTCTCAGTGTCCTGCATCTTCTGACCTTGGGAGGCTTGTGTGTGAGCCCAGGGGGTGGGTGTCCTCAGGAGTAGGGGGGTGCCTGGGGACACCTCACGTCCCAGGATCATGCTGCCAGCCACAGGGTCGGGCCAGCCATGGAAGGACACAGGGCAGTGACTGTTCATGGCCATCTTTATTCCCAGTGCTGGCTATCCCAAGATACTGCCAGGCTACGGCCAGCCCCACCTCTGCCGATGTGACTGGATCACCACCCCATACCCCAGAGCAGCCTCGAGCCCTGCCCCACCCCTGCCCTGCGGAAGCCAAGTCCCCAGCTATAAGCCCCTGCCCCTCCTGGTGGCCCAGGACTCTCAAAGGTGCACACAGGGGTCCTAGCGAGGGGCCCCTCGGTCATCAGCCTTCTCCTCCAGGCTGGGCCGCCCAGCAGCCCGGAGCTGAGTCTGTCCCTCGGACGCTGGGCCACGTCACCTTCTCCTCCTCCAGGAGGCTTCACCTATGGGCCCAGGAAGTCCTCCTTCCGATAGCCCTTCTACAGTGGAGAGAGGCCCAAGGTCAGGGTGCATGTCTGCCCGTGCAGCCCTCTGCCCTCTGTCCCTCCTGCAGTGTGCGGGGTGTGGCCCGGACCCTTCCCCTCTGGGTCCCTGGTCTCCATTCTCCCATTGGCCTCTTCACTGTCTGCTCCACGTGGGTTTCTGTGACCCTCCCCCGGCATCCCATGCCCTGCACCCGGGTCCCTGCTCGCTCTGGGCTGGGGAGACGTACCGCCCGGAAGTCACGGTGGAGCTTGTTGTACTGCCACAGGTTGGCCAGGAGGCTGGACGCTGCCCGGGAGGACTTCTCACTGTCGGGGCTGAGGGTGGAGGGGAGTCAGGAGGGGACACACAGCCAGGAAGCAGGGTGGGCTGGGAGGACCGCTGGCCAGGCTGCTGAATGCCTGGGTCGGCCCCTACCTGTCCCGCTTCTTCTTGATGAAGATGAGCTTTCGGAGCCCGTCAAAGTACAGCAGGTCTCGGGCGGCAATGGGGCTGGCCACCACCAGGTTGTTGAGCACAGCTATGATGTTGACCAGCACCTCGGCTGGGGGCGATTTCTCACCCACACTGCCCGGCAGCTTCTCGATCAGGTGGCTCACCACCTTCGTGGCTGTGGGAGGCCGGGGGTCAGTCTACACCCCTACTCCCGGCCACCTGGGCACCTGGGGTCCCCTGCCTCCCTCAGGGAGCTGGACTGACTCCAGTGGCCTGAAGCCCACATGTAAAGACAAAATTGATGTGTGGGCCCAGCAGGGTGGGGACGAGGGTCTGCCTGACTCACACATCTCGTCCTTGTTCCTAGCATTCCGAGACAGGTTTCGGATGAGGCCGGTCAGTGAGCGCAGCTGGTGGTGGTCTGCGGTCCGGACACGGTCTAGCAGGGGGTTCAGGATACGCTCCTGCTCCAGGGCCAGGCGGCTCAGCACCCCCGCCCACTGTGGGGAGGGAGGGTGTGAGCTGTGACTGGAGGCCTCAGACCCTCACCTGGGGGAGTCCTGCAACAACGGGGTCGCTGCATCCTCCTGCCACCCTCAGGGGGGCCTCTGCTTCCGCCTTTGCCCCCCAGTTGGGGACATCATCCGCAGCCTGGATCAGGTGCCTCCCTTCAAACCCAGGGCAGAACTTCCAGTCCTCCCAGGACCCAAGGCCTGCCCCACTGGGACACTGACCTCGGAGGCTCCGCGGGCCCCCTGCGTCCCCTACCTCCTCCTCTCCCTCTTTCCCCTGCCCTCCCCCCCCACAGCATGAACCCCTGGGAGCCCCTCGGGTCTGGGTTGGGTGCCCCACCCTGCGGTCGCCTGCCGTGATGTTCTGCAGCGCCCCGGCGGCGGCCTCTGTCGTGTGCCGGTTGAGCTCGCAGCGCTGCAGCAGCCGGTTGTACAGCCCCACGATCTGGGGGCTCCACAGCCACTCGAGGCCCTTGGGGTCCTTGGACACCTCTGCGAAGGTGAGCGCATCGGCGGCGAGGGGCAGCTGCGCCGGAGCAGGGGGAGTCAGCGGGGGCGGGGTCAGCGGGGCTGGAGTCAGCGGGGCGGGGTGAGCGGGGCCGGGCTGAGCCGGGGCGGGGTGAGCGGGGCCGGGGTCAGCGGGAGGCCAGGGTCAGTGGGGCCGGCGTCAGTGGGGCCGGGGTCAGCGGGGCGGGGTGAGCGGGGCCGGTGTGAGCGGGGCTGGAGTCAGGGGGCGGGGTGAGCAGGGCCGGGGTGAGCGGGGCCGGGGTGAGCTGGGCCGGGGTGAGCGGGGCGGCGTGAGCGGGGCGGGGTCAGTGGGGCCGGGGTCGCAGCACACCCCCACGCCCCACCCAGGCTGGTGCCCACCTCGCGCAGCCTCCGGCTCTGCGGCGTGAAGCAGCCCACCACCTCTCCCGGCGGCACCCCGGCCAGGTCCCTGCGGCCGCGACCCTCCAGCCGCTGCAGCGCGGACGGCGGCATCTCGTCGTACAGGCGGTAGGACAGGTTCCGCAGCACACACACCGCGTTCTCCACGCTCTGCGGGCAGGGGCGCAGGTCAGGGCGGTGGCCCGGGGTGCACGGCCCCCCCCGCCCGCACCGCGCCCCTCACCTTGTCCTCGCATTTGCCCACGTCCAGAGCGTGGTTGATGTAGGTGACCAGGGCGTCCACCAGCCCGTGGCACTCCCGCATCTTCTGGCGAGTGGCCTGAGAGGCTGAGCTGAGGTTCCTGGGGACCGAGGCGGATCAGAGCCCCCCAGGGACCCCCCATCCCAGGCCCTGTCCCATCCCATCCTGGGCCCTCGCACGCCCATCCCCCAGTGCGGGGCGTGCGGTGTGTGGGGCTGTGAACGCCAGGCCAGGCGGAGTCCCTACAATGAACCTGCCCGCAGTCCCCACCCCACTGCCTCACTGCCCCAGGCTGGCGCACCTGAGGAAGCCGGTGGCATTGTAGAAAATCTCCGCCTCCGAGGCGTTCTGCTGGATGAGGGGGGGACCCCCAGCCCCCGACAGGGGGCTCAACACCAGGTCAGTGAGCTGCTCCAGCGTGTCTCTGGCCAGGCGGTCCTTCAGGTGGTCACTGGATGACAGGTTCCACAGGATCCCTGGACCACGGGGGAGGCTGCTCTCAGCGTCTGCCCTCCAACCCCCTCCGCTTTTCTGGGCATGGAGTGAGGAGGTCCTGCCTCTCCCCAGGGGCTGGCCTGGTGTTCTGTGCCTCACCCACAAGCCCTGCTGGGGAGACCCTGGGGTGGCATTTGGGGTGATAGAGCTGGGACCAAGCAAAAGGGGACAAAATGTGGGGTGTGGTGAGCAGGCTTGGTGCGGGAGGTGGCTCCAAGGAGACAAAGCCACAGGACAGAGTGGCCAGGGGTCCAGGAAAGAGGCGGGCAGGGGAGGCCCAAGTAGAAACATGGCCAGCAAAAGGGACAAAGGGACAGAAGGGAACCAAATGGGGTGGAGGAATCAGAACAGAGGAGAGAGGACAGGCAGAGGAGGGACAGGAGGAGGGGGACAGGCAGAAAAGGGGGACAGGTGGAGGAGGGGGAACAGGTGGGAGGATGGGATAGGCGGAGGGGGCAGGTTGGAGAAGGGGACCAGGTTGGGGACCACAGAGGGAGACGGGAGGAGTAGCGACAGGGACAGAGGGGAGTTTAGGTGGAGGAGGAAACCCGGACATGGGTGGAGCGGACAGGTGGAAGGGCAGGGGGAGGCAGCGGAGGGCAGGGAGGCAGGGGGGCAGATGGGGCAGCAAGGAGGGAGGCAGAGGGGGGGCAGTGAGGTTGAGGAAGCAGAGGACGGTGGAGAGGGGTTAGATGGGAGAAGGGACAGGTGGAGGAAGGTAGATGGAGGCCAATGAGACATGTGAGAGGCAGGTGTGGAGAGGTAGATGGAGGAAGGACAGGTGGAGAGGGGTGTAATGGAGAACTGGAGGAAGGGCGGTAGATGGAGGACAGGTGCGAGGGACAGCGTGGAGGAGGGTGATGGGACAGGTGGAGCAGGAGGGAAGGCAGGGGGCAGGTGGAGGAAGGACAGGTGGAGAAGGGACAGGTGGAGGAAGGGCAGCGTAGGAGGAAAGGGCAGGGGTTGAGGAAGGCAGGTGGGAGAGGGGTAGATGGAGAAGACAGTG